CTAGGCTACTATTAGTAGAAAAATATAGGTACCAAAAGTATATATCTATACTAGCGACTAACTCGTCCCTAGCCCACAACTCCTAAATTTTACCTCTTTATAATATTAGTATAGATATTTTAATATTATAAAGTGGTAAAGTTTGTGAGTTTGTGACGTCGTAGGGGGTAATCTCTGGATCTACTGAACTGGCTTAGATGAAATTTGGTGCGAAGATAGTTTGATACCCTGGGAAGGACATAGGATACTTTTTATTCCGGAAATCATTTCTTAAGGGGGTGAAAATGGGGATGAAAATATGTATGGGGAATCAAGCTAGGGACGAACCGGTGAGTCGCTAGTATTAGTATAGACTAATATTATAAAGAAGGTTTTTTTTGTTTTTTTGTTTGGTTGCTTGCTTGTTTGTTTATTTGTTTGTTTAAACGCGTTAGTCTCAGGAACTATTGAGCCGAATTGAAAAATTATTTTTGCATTAGATATATCGTTTATTGAGCAAGGCTATTATTAGCTAGTATATAACACCATGCTACTACCCACGGGAGCAGAGCAGTAACCATAAATGTCAGCAAATCTGGCAGACTTCTATACATTTTGTAAAACTACATATAGACATTATATATATACAGGGACGAACCCGAGCGAAGCGAGGGTGAGTCGCTTGGATTTATTGGTTTTTCCTTATCAAATTTAATCTTTACCCAGCTAACCAGATTACTCGAGTATCAAAGCAGAACGCCAATGGAATATTAGGTTATGGCTATCGAATGTCTCTAATGGACTTCGACTGATACTGAACAAGTTTAAGTGATTTTTTATTCCATTCCATTAGCTGTGCAAAGTACAATCTTTTATTTACGTTTTTTTATTTGGAATAGAATATATAAAAGGATTATGTATTTTGTTTATGCCAAAAGTGTTTGAAGTAAGTGTTTTGTCATTTGTGTATATTTATTAAACACTAGCAATTTAAAGGTAGTTTTGAGTCCTCTTCTAGGTGCCTAACAGTATCTTATGTATTTCTCCAGGTCATAGCCTATTTGTATTATAAATTTCATCCAAATCTGTCTAGCCGTTTCAGAGTCAATATACACACAAACACACATACAAAGTTTCGCATTTATTATAATTTCAGTAGTCCGATAATATTTTTTATAGGTATATACAGATAAATAAAATTGAAGTGTCTGTAATGTCAAAATAACAGCGTTTTATTAAATACATATGAAATTATATGCGGTACTGATAAGGAAAAATCAATTTGTAAAAATTGTATTTGTCTGTTTATTCTGGCTAATCTCCGAAGCGGCGGGACCGAATTTGAAGGGACTCATCTTTCACTTGCAGGTTGTTGATGTTATGAATAATTTAGATTATTTTTAGTTTTAGTAAAAGATTTCGCGCAAAAAAGGGCGAACTTGATCGAAGTGACCATAAGTCGCTAGTTATACATGAGTATTTATAAATCTTCTATGATCTATAAGATGATAGAAGTCTAATCTTCTAAGTAAGGAGTTTTGAAACGGCAAAGGTGATCATTAAAGCCTCTTAATTGTAAGGTTGGCTTTATTAAAATGAGAAAATTTTCAAATTTCCAACGTTTATAGTAGAAACTTCGCGGAACGTATTAATTCTAAACAATTTGCCTACGCACGAGTTTGAGAATTACTCCCATTCAAAGTAAGCACCCGCCAGAACTTGTCGTGGCATTATAGAAATTTCACCTCTTCACAAAATTGACTATATACCTACACGTACAAACCTACACGTACAAACCTACACGTTCGTTGTAAGAGACGAAATGTCATTATGTTTGGCACAACAACGAGAGCTCGACAATTACAATATAATTAGGCATTTTATTTTTGCTTGGGATGAGCTTATATATATATATATATATATATATATATATATATATATATATATATATATGCACAAATATTCAAAATAATAAAATTAAAAACCTTTACAGTACTTTCATTTACTTTAAATTTTCGTGCTAGAAACATATTTTTTTCGCTATAAATTAGTGGGATAAAAACTAGAAGTCACGAAAAATATGATATTTTATGTTTTTGAGCCATTCTTTTGTGATAAATTATGAAGAATTGTAAAAGTCAAAAATCATATTTGATCTTTTTTGTAGATCGTTTAATTCCCCTTCAAGTATATGTTTTTAATTTGACTGCAAATAATTCGTTTGAGCGCATTAAAAAGAGCGCGGAAAAAAATGTCCTATGTTATTTATATGGAAAATCAAAAATCACGATGAACCATCTCTTAACTTAACCCTTTCTTTCTTGGACGATATTTTATTTTCAAGGTAACTAAAGAAAAAAAATTTTTTTTTTGACACATCCTAAATTATATATATATACATTTATAAGGTATATTCCCGTGGGAAGAAGTTAACCGCGGTAAAAGTAGCCTATGTCCTCTCCATCCTTCCTACTATATCCACACATAAATCACGCCAATCAGTCAGTCTGTTTCGACGTGATAGAAGGACAAGCAAAAAAACGAATAAACACAATTTCATATTTATAATATTAGTATTGACTAGTATGGATATGGATGTATAGTATAATCTATACAAATAAGAAAATTGTAACTGACTTGATTGTGTACATTGAAATTTTTTTCGGAAAATCATATTGTAATAGCCATTTTTATCGATACGGAGGCCTAAATAACAGTTTTAAGAATTTGGTATGCCTATCTGGGTATCTGTACCGCATCATACCGATTTTAATGAAATTTGGTATAATGATGATCAACATATAGATATCAAGTATCAACATATTATATCGCGTCAAAATTAAACATTCTTTTGACTTTGTTACTTACTCTTCCTACATAATATGCCAGAAAATAATAATTATAAAGACTTTAAAAAAATTGAATTGAAATTTATAAGTAAAATCAGCTGGATAATAATTATTAATATAATAAGTTTTTCTAATATATTTAGAAAATCACCGATAGTTGTTGCCACTACTTTATGAAATGTGTAGGTGGTAATTTATAAATTTATAACAGAAAAACCCGAGCTTTTATAGATAATTTTAGAGTTCATCTCTATATTACAAAGTCAAATATTGTGTAATAAATATTTTTTTATCCCGTATATATGTAGTAAATATTATAAATGTGAAAGTCTGGATGGATGTTTGTTACTTTGTGACGCCAGAACGGCTGAACGGATCTAGGTATAATTTGGCACAGATAGATTATAGTCTCGATATATGTATATCTACTAGTATTTTTTATCTTGGAAAAAATAAGGTTGTCGTGGGATATATTTGTTTTTGTTTCTCACTAGGGACGAACTCGATTTTTATTTAAGACTAGCTCACTTAGCCTCTCTCCACTCGGGTTCGCTCCTACGTTACGTATGTTTTAAGGGTTGGTATAGATTTCTCAGAGATGAGACATTTTTTCGCAGTAAAAATTATTCTATGTGTTGACCAAGATAACCAGCTACAATCATACCAAATTTTATCAAAATCTGTCTAGTAGTTTTCTCGTGATGCATTCCTAGGCAGACTGACAAAAATTGTAAAAATTATAGATTCGGCCTCCGTATAGATAATAACGACTATTTCAATAAGATTTTCAAAAAATATATTTAATGTACAGATCTCAGTTACAATTTAATTGTATATAGATACGTAGAATTTTTTTGTTAAAAAAGTATTAATTGATGTGTAGTGCTATTTCTGTTATTCAAGTAACGTTGTAAAATAGTAGTAGTGCCACCGTACTTTATTTTTCTTCTTAACCGACTTCCAAAAGCCGACAATATTTTAAGATATTAATATCTAATAGGTAAATATGATTAGGTATGAACTATAGGTACGAATAGTTAAAATATTATACATCAATTTGTGACGTAGGTATTTTACGTATCGAAATATACCTATTAGATTTGCTTTGCATCGGCTGGCACCGACTTCGAAAATATCTGTTTAGGTCTCTTTTCTAAATTAAAACCCCCGTTTAGTTAATTTTTTACATTTTTGTGCCTGGAAATCGGTTTTTTTGAAGTTTTTCGACTCACAGTTTAAAGTGTCTAAAAGATTTTTTTTTGTAAATATAAGTAATCCCTCATACAAAGTACTGTCTTAGTTTTATTTATATTATTAGTAAATTTTCGTACACAATTATATATCTTTCAATAACAACAAAAATCAATCTAAATTGTATTTATGTCACGAGTTTAATATCATGTTATTGGTGGTGATGTTTATTTAAGGAGTTCTATAACTCACGTTTATGTGAGGATGAATAGGCAATTTGCGGAAAACAAATTGCTACGATCTAAAGATAACTGGGGGTAATGCCTATTTCGCGGAACCTTCAAAAGCATTTATGGCACGATAATGAAAATTAGCGACGTATCTATACATACATTTATTAGAAATTTTATCTTTAATTTAGTAGTATAACAGAAATACGAGAACGTAATCACATTTTTACCAGCAAAAGCAGAGTTTTATTTTATATACTTACATAATATATTTTAAGTGGTTTTTATATACATAATAATTATAAGAAGAGTACATAGTAAACCATGGTATATATAAATATTTACTTTACACAGAGATTTCAAATATATGCTAAAGTTAAAAATCATGCCGTCACATCAACAGGCAGGAGTTGTAAATGGTTGTACAAGAATGTAGATAATACCATATTTTGTTACATCATTATTTACACGTAATATATTTCTCATTAAATGTAATTAGGGTTTATCGGAAAGGGCATTAATAAAATTAAAAGCCTTCTCTGTTAGCTCAGATTTAGCCACGAATCCTTTCTCTGGTTATATAAATGAAGGGAGAAGAAAAACGATCCGCTCATCCATTAGGTTTCACTTTTATTGTCTCAACCGAATACCTTTCATTTTGCTTAACCTGAACGTACAAATATATTTAATGTCGAACATTAAATAGGATCGTAGGAGAAATTGATTTTTTTTCTTAAAAAAATATCTATTAATTTATTGTTTTGAATTCGGTTCGCAAATTTTCTCTTATTTGACCGAGAACTAATTCGAATTGCGTTGATACTCTGTAGTTTGCCTGATATTTTTCACATAACTGTATGAAAATTGGATGAAGATATTTTAGGATAGAGTGATCCAGGGTCGGGAACATATGATGTAATGCATGGTCGCCGAATAGAGTCATAACAGCAAATGTGTTGCCATTCACATCCTTTCGGTCGAGTAAGGCTTCAACTTGATGTTCTCCCCAGTCCAGAGTTAAATTCCTGTAAAAAATTTACATTTTTTTTTTATAAACCACTTCGATTTTATTTTACAAAGTAATTTATGTACCACAAACATTTTATGTTAAAAAATTGATCTTTCAAGGGCTTAGTTTATTAAATAAGTTAAATATACCGGTAACTATATAGTATATTTCTTTAATTGCTAATTCATTGCCATTGGTCGCTTCCTAGTTACAATGCCATGGACCACCGTTATTTAATTGTAATCATTTTCATATTTAAATCAGCGCTTCGCTCGGGTTCGTCCCTAGGTACGTTGTAACTATTAGTATGGAATAGGTAGACTATATTTTATATGATATATAGCCTATAGTTTTCCTCAATAAACGAGCTATGTAATGCAAAAAAAACCAAATCAGATTAGTAGTTCCTGAGATCAGCGCGCTCAAAGAAACTAACAAAAAAACAAACAGAAAACAAACTATGCCTCTTTATAATAGTCAGAGATAGGCGTTTATATAGAAAAATACTCACTCTGGTAAAGCTAATTACAATAAAAAATCACCTTGGTTGATCACCATCTTTAAAAGCATCTGGATGGTGATGAGCAGCATTCACTGCGATGAGGAAAAATATTAGGCTAGCAGTACAATTGATTCGGAACCATGTGTAAAGAACATGGACGAAAGAGCTGCCACTTGTCAACCACATACAAATCGGTAGCAGAAAGCCAATGGCGTCGTGCCAACGGTAATGCGCCTTGAAAAACCCTTTGCGGATAAATATGCTTAGAAATCTGAAATAGTGAATTTTACTTTAGTTTTTACTGACATGCCGAAAATATTATTTTAGTTTATTTGTGTTTCAAATTGATTAATATTTACTACGATTAATATTTTACTAGATTAATATTTACTAGCGACTCATTCTCGCTCCGCTCGGGTTCGTCCCTTGGTACGTTTTAACGGTTAGTATAGATTTCTCAGAGATGATATATTTTTCCATAGTAAGAAGTATCCTATATGTTGACCAAGATAACCGACCATCATACCAAATTTCATCAAAATCTGTCCAGTAATTTTCTCGTGATGGTTTCCCAGACAGACAGACAGACAAAAATATAAAAAACTATATATATATAGACTATTTCAATAAGATTTTCCAAAAAATATTTAATGTACAGATTCGACTTAGAATTTTAGTATATGTAGGTATAGATAGATAGATTTTACTCTCCGTTACATAACCAAGAATAAGATAAATACGTACAGTAGCCACATTAGTCTCTAAGGTTAATGTTTTATTTAGATGTATGTACTAATTGCCAATTAAGAGAAAATATATTTATATAATATAGTTGATAATATGAGTTTGTAGTATTAGATAATCACGTTACCAATATGTTTTTAGTGATCTCAAAATAGCTATACTTCATATAGCTATTTGAATGGTTTTATGCCCAAATAACTGTTAAAAATGCCTGCTTATTTGTTTGTTTATCACTGAAACAGCTAAACCAATTTTAATAAGACTTACTGGATGATAGAGGATTTGATAAATATTTTCTTGTATATTTTCAGCAGCAGAAACAAGTAACAGTGTAATAATGGATAGGTAACGTAAAAGCAATCATGTTATTGCAATTTATGTGACCGACTATAATTTTCCTATTAAAATTAAAAAAAAAATATATTTTCATAGCGTAAGATAATAAAACATTTAATTACCTTTTAATAAAAGTAAATAAAAACGTGAAGGGAAAGTAAAACATCTCAGTAATAAATCCAAATCTAGCGAGCAATGGCTTGTCTCTCCTCGGGTTAAAGACTAGGATTGGTTCTAAGGAGCTAAGTTCCAAGTCCATTAGAGTATTTGTATATAGATGATGTGAAAGTACATGAGAAACTCTGAAATCTCTATGAAAACATTATAATAAAAGTAATATTTTAAATGATATAAACTTCTATAGTAAATGTAAGATACATAATTTATTGATCTTACATACATATTATATGTATAACAAAGTAATCTAAAGAAATATTTTTTAAATAATGATAATTCTATCAATTTAAGGCTCACTTCTAAGCGCTGGCCCTTCCTTAATAAGAGGATAGTTAGGCCATAGCCCATCACACTGGACAAATGCAAGTTGGCAGACTTCACATATCTTTCATAACTACTCGTAGTTATGTTTCTTCACGGGGGTTACCTGAAGGTACGTGGTAGGTTACGGTGAACCGTATGACTAATTAAGTATTTTAACTTATTAATGATTGATGATGATGATGTTCTCCTGGCCTATTCCGGTCACGGCAGCCAATCTCATTGAGACTAGCCAACTGCGCAGGAGATATTATAGTGCACAAGTGTACGTGCAGACACAAGTGCACTCTCTATTCCTGTCACTCTCATACTCCGGTAGGACAACTGCTCGATACGACCAGTGAGAGTTAAGGTGCAGGACCCACGGCTTTACGTACTCTCCGAGGCACGGGAGTGAAACACCGCCAACTTCCCAACTCCGGGCTGTTACAGAGACTTACTATATAGAAAGACTCAGTAACTAAACTTGGCCTGACCCGGGACTTGAACCCAGGACCTCCGAGTGTGCAGCCACTACACCATCGAAGCATGTATTATTAATGATTAAGCTATGCATTATAATAATATTATTTTATTACCTATAGGACCACATGGACATATTGAAAAGATACATTCTCCAGTTTGTTTTTCTATGTATAAAGTTGTGGCATGTTACCGTTAGAAATGCCAGAGATATAGAAGCAATAAAGTACCAAAGTGCTGATATCCAATAATTTTCAAACCAACAAGCTAAAGAGCAACTACATAAAACTGTCGCCAATAGTCCATCTGTTATTCTGTCAGCAGTGATAGACGCGTCTTTTGGAATTTTCTTTAGCTCTTCGTAAACTGCCCTTTTCAATGTTTTATAAAAACCGTTTGGATGGAATGTAAACGGAGAATTTCGTGGAGTTTTCGCATCCCTGATGTAAAATTTACTTAGGATTTTCTCCGTAGATGGGTTTATATGGTGGGACTCAAACGCTTCTGTTATATCAGTTCCCTATAATAATATAAAATAAGAACATCAAAAATGTAATTTTGAAGGCTCAATATCATACTTTCTTAAGAATATACATAAATCATTAGCTTTATAAAACTATACATTTAACAACATTTAAAAACATGTTTCTCATAATAATATTACGCAAAATGAAATATCACCCAATTACAATTTTAAATTTTGTGATTGAAAGATGTTTGGAATGCATAAATCAAATCTATATTTATATTAAGTATCTACTGAATTAGTGGCTGTTTATAGTTTGCCTGATTATTATTTGTGCATCATTCAAAAATTGTAAGTATTTGATATTTCTATTTAAATGTTAATCTTACATGTGGTACTCTTTTAAATGGTTTATACCGCTATATGAGCTCCTATATAAATAGAGTATTATATTAACTAGTTGTTTATAAGACCATAGGTACCGTCTTATAATCTCAAAATAATAATTAGCTGTTATTGGCTCGGTGGGAAAATGAAAGTGAGAGAAGTCGTACAGAAAATCTAGTTAAATCTACATACCTGAGTTAACTCTAACCATTCTTCGCCACCGGGATGTTTTTTTATAAAACTTGTGAAATCGTATAACTTGTCATGAACACGCCATAATCCTTCTGCGCCATCATCAATGGCTTTACCAGTGAGCCATTGTATGGGATCTCTAAAACCTTCATCTCTTAAAGAAGGATATTTTAATTGCGGAAAACTAGCATGAGTAATTTTATGGGTAACTCGCTCTTGAGCCTCTTGAACCCAGTCTGATTCTTTTGGAGCCATTATGCTAAGCCAACTTAATTGAGATCTACGTACAATTTTCAGTTATCTCTATATATAACCGATATAATAATGTGTATTTATCAGTTAGTTCTAACAAAATGAACTATATTGCACTAGATATGTATACATGACCTTTAACACAGTGCAAATAGGTCTTTTATAATTTGTAAATAGCTGTGAGGCGTAATACTATAATAAGTGTTATCTTAACATAGTAAAATAATTAGATAAATGTGGAAAATTTTTACAAGGATTAATACCTATACATAGATTTTGTTCGTTTTAATAAATGTTAAGGAATATTAAATAAATAATTCATTTAAATAATAAATTGATAAAATAGAAATTGTAGAGTAATAAATATTTTTTTGAATTATTATTCTAATAATTAATAAATTAATTACTTATTATTTTAATACTTTCTTAGATTTACGCAAATATTTGACAATTGCAATTTTCATTTTGTTAATTGTGAGTAGGTTGTCTGTAACAACTATACCTTCGAGACATGTAACACCTCAGTCTCTCCCGTGACCATGAATGCTGTAAAGCATTCGAAACGTTTGGAACCAAAAATCCAAATAGAAAAGATAGTTTTATTTAAAATACTTATTATTTTGTTAACTTTATAATGTAACAAATAACTGCCTCGGTGGTGTAGTGCCTAGCTGCACACCCGGAGGTCCTGGGTTCGAGTCCCGGGTCGGGCCAAGTTTAGTTATTGAGTCTTTCTGTATAGTAAGTCTCAGTAACAGCCCGGAGTTGGGAAGTTGGCGGTGTTTCTCCCCCGTGCCTCGGAGAGCACGTAAAGCCGTCGGTCCTGCGCCTTAACTCTCACCGGTCGTGTCGAGTGGTCGTCCCACCGGAGTATGAAAGTGATAGAAATAGAGAGTGCACTTGTGTCTGCGCGTATTTGAGCACTATAATATCTCCTGCGCAGTTGGCTAATCTCAATGAGATTGGCCGCCGTAGCCGGAATCGGCTAGGAGAACATCATCATCATCATATATCCTCTCCTAGATTCGTAGATTAACATATATTTCAGTTTGTAGGTAGTTAGAGATCTTATACAAAAGACCTTCAAGTAACATTATTATATAGTACATTGTAATTAAAATCGTTAAAATACTTTTTGGCAATATAAAGATAAAACCTATTAACGTTCAGTTATCTTCAACAAAGGGCAAAATAATTACCAATTATGTATCGTGTAGATTTTATTATTTTCATTTTATATTAAAATTTTGATATTTATATCTATAGGGGAATTTTAATTATCTCAGTCTATCTAACAAGTATAATATCGTGCTGGTGAAAAAAGTAAAGAAAGTTAATTATTGAGTATAATTACGTATAATAAATTTTATATTTACTTTGTAATTATTCTTCAAGCTTATAAAGAGATGTTTGGAATGTAATAGCGCCAGTAAATAAAGAAGAATTTCTAGAATTTTGTGCTCGTCTGTACTCGTCGTTTGATGAGTGTACATATGCTCATGACCGAGTGTACGTTTGACTAAATTAAAAAAAAAGTGGTAAGTAGGTACTACGTTTGACGCATAGATATTATTTTTTAAATTTTATAAAATTTTATGAAAAGCTTGACCTATTCAGCTAGTTTAAATTATATTTTATTACAAAAGCTACCATTTTCAAGTAACTCAGAAAAATAAGCATAAAAACAAATTCAGTTTATATAAAAAAAAACTTGAAACGTTACAAGTGTGTGTAGTGTTTGATTGGTATCATTGTGCTATTCTGCCTATGGAGAATTTGGACTTATTTCGGCGCACAAGGCGTATAAAAATTGATGAATCAATTTATATATTATAAACATTAGGTTAACATTTTAATTAAAAGAAATATCAAAAAAAAAATATTCCGTTCATATAAATTATTCTTAAGTACTTCTTACTGTCTTGAAGTCGGTAATATAATACGTATATATACGTTTTTTAACGGTTTCGAATAAATTCAAAGTTTGAGTTCCCTTTTTAATGTCGAGTTAGTGGTTGCGGACTAAATATAGAAATGGAAGAACGAGAAAATCCGCATACATATTAGGTATATATACAATATGATTAATAAGTTATTTTCTTTATTGTTATATTTTATACTAGTTTTTGTTTTTAAAAGTATGACGGTAAAATAACAACAAATATACGGATTGAAAAGATTTTTTAAACTGGAGTAATATATCCAAACTCCCGCATTCACGATAAATGTGCGGGCGGGCATATTGTTGACACCAAAGACATTCCTCAAAGCTTTGGGCGTTTGTCGCATCAATATGAAAAACATTTTGTAAATATGAAACAACCGTGATGAAATAAATTTTATTATACTAGCAGGATAGATAAATATATATTTCACAAAACTCATAGAAAAAGGAAGTGGTAGCAAAGTACTTCCTTGGGAATGTAAGTGAAGCGGGTTTAAATCCCGGGTCTTGCACCTTTGATATTGTCAAGTGAGCATCATTTTCAATATGGTTACCACTTGCCTTAAGTGAAGGATTACATCGTAAAGAAACCTGTATAACTGAGAAAGCCCTAGTTCTCGGTAGACATGTTGAGTCTCCTTCCTATCCCCTCTCCCCTCATTGACAGGAAGCCCAGCAGAGGGTTGATAAAAAAGGGTTAAGTACAAGAAAACTCGTAGCAACTAAGAATTAATGCTTGTCTTATTCTAGTAAAATATTTTAGATACATAATGTTGATATTTTCTGGAACAAATAAAATAAAATGTAATATAGACAACTTAATATATAGATAAAAACATTATTATTTAAGCATTTGCAAATTTCCAATATATTTGTTCAATATATTAGTAGCAGAAAATAAATATTTTTTTTAAATAAAATCTCTACTTTGTAAGCTTCGTTTATAACGATATTTGTAAGGCCTTTCAGTGTGGATTATATCTATATTTTACAGAGCTTTTAGCACGGTGTAGGCACGCTAAAACATGACGTACAAATACAGTAGTAATTCCACATTGAATAAATTCTAGTCTGACTTGCAATTTAACAGTAAAATAATATATGTACCTATAGATATACAAAATTCATTTATCGGTAACCTTAATAAGTATTAATTTAATGGTATTTTATTAACAAAGTTAATTTTTCGATCGCAAACTAACAAAACTTGTAACCGCAAGTTTCCCACATCTAAAATATTACCCAACAATATCTTTTTTGTTCTTTAAGACAAGTTCAAAAAACTTTTGAAATTATTTTTTACCAGATTTTTTTAATAATTTTCCACCTCGTGCATTAAAAGTCATATATATATATATATATATATATATATATATATATATATATATATACAATATAAAATCGTTGACGGAAATAATGAAATTTATTTCCGTTTCGTTATGGTTTACCTTCCTCGCGTCCGCATTCTAAATTAACACTGATAAAGGGTCGTTGTTTTTTCGACTCTTCTTTTTCTTATAAATTTAAAAGGCACAATTATCATTATAATTAATTGTTAATTTTTTTCATCTGACTTTTTTATGCCTTTAGAGTGATTTTCTTTGTTTGCGTAGCTATTATAAAATAACTTTTTACAGCATTAGGGCCATTCTTTATTAAATACATTAAACGCAGTATTCAAATATTGTGTTCAATAAAAAAAAAACAAAATAAAAAAACGCTTTAATTTTACGAATTTATTTCAACGTGATAAATAAATTACTTAAATGTCTATAGTTACGAAAATGAGGTTGCTCAGCAGAAGTATATGCCGCTCATAACTTTTGCAAAGGGTGAGGAGGAAGTTCTGCTTATACCTGTAATTTTAAGAATGTTCTTAGCTCTTTAGATCGAGTATCTTTGATAAATGAGACTTAATCAAAGTTTCTTGAATTTTTTCACACATCCTCCAATCCTTGATAGTGATGGTTTCCATATCATTCTACGCTACTAGCCTGAGACTAGCGATACAGTCCACGATCCAAAGACGCGTGGTCATTTGCATCGTGGAAATGTCTATGGAAAACAAAATTTCCTACTATGGACGTAAAAGAAATTTAGCTATACATAGCATCACGGCTCACTTTAACGACATTATTAAAAAGGCTCTGAGGCATCTTAAATGCGTCCATTACGTTACTCATTAATGTTATTATTAAGCTAACTGGAGTGTGTCGGGATGTTGGCACGAGGATTGATGGTTTGACTCAGTTCTTACTGGTTGGTTCTTGATATACGGTATGTACATTAGTGGTTCGATATATTGGCTCGTCTTATATTAGAGAAATGGTATTCAATATGGGGGCCTCAACAGAAAGTTGAATCTAGTTATCACTTCCTTTGGTCACAATCATTTCTTTTACACTCTTTACAGTAAAAACTTCTCGTAGCTGAAGGGCTAAAACTTCTTGAAAGAAATTAAGTATATATTATCGTCTTATCGCCTCTACCAATAAAAAAAAGCGTGAAGAGAACCTAGAAGCGTTATTCACCCAAAGCCAATTGCATTGCGATTTAGAGGAAGAATAAACCGAGACATGACTTGTACAATCAATAGGATTAATCATTTGTTTTGTATATATGTATGTATATTTATGGACAGACTGATTTTAATTGTCTCTCTTACTATTTTTTTATATAATACAGAAAAAAACTTAAATAGTATTGAAGATTTCCTCTCAACATTTCATGTTTATTTTTTTATCGTCGTCTCTCTAGGTATGTTTTGCATTTATAATATTAAGTAAGGTTATCATGGTGCATGGAACGTAAAGAAATGGAATAATTTTATACTTTTACGCATAATCCGTATTAATTAATTAATATTAATTATTATTAATTAATAATATTATAAAATATGTGAAAATTTTTGTCAGTATGTATGGATGTTTGTTACTCTTACGCGCCAGAATAGCTGAACGGATCTGGATGAAATTTGGCACAGAGATAGATTTATCCCGAAAAAATGTACGGTTCCCGTGGGATAGGTTTCATTTTTGCTTTCCTAAAGGCGAACCCGAGCGAAGCGAGGGTGAGTCGCTAGTTTTAAATACATGATAAGTCCTAATGTATTAATATACAAGTACATATGATGTAAAGAGCAACTTTAACCTACTAACATATTAGATTAATATGGAAAAGATAACATGAAGGATAATTAATTTGTCTTTATATTTAAATACAACAGGTATACCCCTAATTTATTGTACAACTGGACAAAGCCGGGGCTGGTCACTGATAGGTAATGTAATATTTTTTTCTTTTTTCTATTTATTAAGCATATTTTTACGTTACGGAAGACTAAAAGGAAGGAATTATTGAGCAGGGTTTTTCTGTAGCAATGGGTTTTTAAAAATATATTTTAGAGGAGCCGATGCAATATTAAGTAAATCTATTAAAATATGTATCATAACAAAATTATAATAAAATATATGTAATATGTGTTTATTGTAATTTGGATATATGTATCTAAATAGATTGGTAATTTATGTTTACTTAGCCACACTACAAAAATATCTGATCAAATAAATAATTCCTTTCAGTTATTTATTAAGCTTCAACATTACTTTTAAATGTTTTGAAGTCGGTTAAGATTAATTTTATTTTAAGTATAGAAAGAAAAATTGCGAATAAATATTTAAAAAAATCTTATTTTTATATATTTATCATTCACATTCACACACACACACATACACTACATAGTCATACAACATTCATATAAATTGACTAGTCGTATGTTATAACTATTGTATTGTATAATATTCTGGCTTGTTTAACAAAATTTGGGGCGTTCTGGGTGTGCTTGTGTTCTTACAGTTGTGATGTGATGTTTTTAGATATTGCGTGTTGTATTTATCCAAGTTTAATGATTATTTAATGGTCACTTAAGATTAAGTAATCAGTGAAATTAAAATAATAACATGACTTTGACAGAAATTTCACCTAGGGCTGGATGGGTTCATAAAATAAAACCGCAACAAAATTCGAAAAGATAGTTCTATTTAAAATATCTAATTTTTGTATTTGTATTCGAATGTAAACTTAAGGAAGTATTGAGTAATAAACTAGCTATCTATAATTTATATATAATCGATGTAATTGCTTTCATAGAATAAAAAAACTTAAACCTATATTTTTTTCGTGGTAAAACTCTCTCAATCTCTAAGAAAAAAGAAAGACCGGAATTAATAATAATAACTTCATTACTAAGTGATTGTCATGAAAATTGAAGAATGCTAATTCATTTATTTTCTCCTTTCTCAGAGATTCGTTTACTCGGATACTCGTTACAATATCTGGATAAAAATTTTCAAGCAGACTACAACAATACAAACATACATAATTACAAATATTGTGATAATCAATATTGTTTTTTGTTTATATCAAATTCAAAATATAATATCGATATAAATTTAAAACTAACGTTAATAAGTAAACATTGTAGTGCATAAATATACATTGAAAATATAAAAAAATATGTATCCAATTTTTTTTTTGTAACATAATAAATATAATAAGATAATGAAGCTTTAAAATTGTAGTAAATACTAAAATTTCATATATAATTAAAAAAAAAGACAATCTGAAGCTAAAAATATAAAGAAAAATAGCACAAGGATAACAATTATTAGTTCAAAGGTGGCAGTTTTATAATTGCGATTGTTATATTTATATTTTTATATGATATGACGTTGACTACTAAGTTCATAACGGTGTATAGATAACGATATTTTGAGTTTATATAAGAAGCAATCATAACTTAATAATTTGTAGACGTTTCGATTCTCCACTGTACGTTCTGTTCGGTGAACATGGCACCAAAAGAAACAGATTATTTAGAATTAGCTCACCAACGAGCTATAGAAAAGAAAACTCATGTCAGTTTCCCCCAGTTGAAATATCCATCTCTAAGGGACGGAGGATTCAGAGATCCCGTACAATGGCTTCAGGGGAAAGCTTTAGACGATGGGGCAGAAGGCTTATGGCGAGTGCATGATAGATTATACGACCTCGAACATTTTATTCAAAGACATCCGGGTGGATCGGAGTGGCTGGAACTGACAAAGGTACTTTTACTATATTCATAACAATATCTTAGATGATAAATTATATATTAGATTTCATAACATTGCATATTATATTATATTTTTTTATGATCGTTCTACTGAAAACAATCTCTAACCAATATTTGTGTTTTGTTTCTTTTCTCAAAAAGAAAAAAAAATGTTTATCAAATCAATTGCACGAATCAGCAAAATGTGAGAAGTCGAGAGGCCAAAGAAACCTATAAGTATATTAATAATTTAATTTCATTACTTACAAAAAATAAAAAAATGACATTTAATTTATACCTAGTTAAAGGGGAAATTGTTAAAAAAAAAACATGACATACTGAAGTTCTATTGAAAGAGAAAAATACTTCCATTGTTACGGGATACTAGACAAACCTAAACAATACTAAACAAATATTTCAAACATTTCAAAGGCTTGAAAGAGGACAAAAAAAAAGAATTGTTGGTAAAAGTTGTGTCAATTTGTCGTATTTAGTTTCATGTATATTTAAAAAAGTTATATACATATATTTATTTTTATTCTATACCAGTGATACACTCTGGATCAGCTCAGGTGTAACATTGTAAATAATACGTATTTTTTATCTAATTACTTACTTAATTGGTAACCTGTTATATACAGATTAATTAACCTCAAACCATCGAAGAGCACTTGCAACCTATCATGTAATTAATGGTACTCTTTCAGAAATATCAACGGTAAAAAACATCACGAACATCATTTTGCGTGATTGAAAAGCTTATGTTAAAAACAGAAAACATCCATTCATGTATTGATTAAGTATTTAGCTGATTATTTAAAGTACATAATAATACTTTTTCTATACTGTGTTCAGTGTCAAACATTATAACTTTAATTGAAGCTGGTAACATTCGAAAATAGTTAATCCCTCCACGACCGCGGACACGCCGGCGCGGCGTTACAGTTAATAATAGATTTCTTAGAAATTTAATTAATTTCTTATAAATTTACCTGGAAGTGTTAAAGATGAAATAGTAATCATCTGTGAAAACAACCATTTCACAACGTACCTAGTAATAATTTTTTTACGGTTGAATTCAAAACAATATGATTGTAATGTGTGTTTAATGTATTTAACAAAAAGCATGGCTATAAAATCACTTAAAAGTTAATATTGTAAAAATCTATTTATTTTTAATGATAGTAAGATTTGATTGAAGAACTTTTATATATTTTTATTTAAGTGTATACTTAAACTTCTTCAATCAAAGCTTACTTATATATATATATATATTTATTTATTTATTTTACTGCTTTAAAGTTAACTGATAAAATCTAGAAGACAAACATTGGTAACCTAACAAAACGTAGTATTTCAATTTGAAAAATAAATTGGTACTCTAAGTTGGCTGCATTTTACAAATTCGCTTCTGAAAACTAGTTTCAAGTTGCCACCTCTATGTTTATTTGTGTTTGCTTCGGTTGCTTGTTATATATTAAATTTCAGCTAGTCAGGATATATTTTAAAACTAACTTTTATTATATAGCTAAAGGTTGCGTCTAGTTTCATTATTAAACATTTAATTAAAAATATTTTTGAATTTCGTTTGATCCTTGAGTTTTGTTCCATTATATGTGATTGTTAGTGTGCAATATGCAAAATAATAATATAATTAACAAGATCAATTTATGATTATTTATATTGTAATGAATAGCATAGACATGATGAAATAGGGCTGCTACTTTGTTTTAGTACTTAGTTTTACTACCACTCTTTATCACTCTAAATTTCAGATATCTACAAGGATATTATGAATTTGTGCCATTTAAGTAGATATCGTGTATCTCCTCTTTCGATGTAACTTTATTTAGGCAAGAAGTAATATCACAAGTAATTCTTAATGGCTAATTAAAGTTTCGTTTGCTATGATTTTTTCCTTAAAGAACACCATATATTTTCAACCGACTTCAAAAAGGAGGAGGTTCTCAATTCGACTGTATGTTTTTTTTTTTTTTTTATGTTTGTTACCTCAGAACTCCGTCATTTATTAACCGATTTGGACAATTTTTGTGTTGTTTGAAAGTGTATACTTCCAGATTGGTCCCATTTAAATTTCAAAAAAAAAATACCACCCCTAAGGGTGGAAAAATAGCTAATGATGAATTTAACCTACTTCTAATTGTCATATTGACTTGAAACTTTGCAAGTGTTTCTATTTCCGTTGATAGTACAGTGGTTCGGTATTGTTGACCTGATCTGATGGTAAGGCCAGAATAGGTGGAACTCTTCAACGGCTAATAGTAGATACTTTGAGTTTGGGCTTGTTTTGTTTGATTTGACAAGCCTAATACGTTACAATTCTTACTTTGCTACTACTGTCTACACTAAAAAGGGAAAAATAAAAACTTTTTAACAAGAAAATAAAAACCGACTTCAAACAAAAGCACTAAAAAGTAAAAAATAACTGATTGGTAGTTTTCATTTACTATACATACCTAATCAAATATATTCGAAGTCGGTGTGCTTTGGCTAAGTAATTAAAGCCTACCTATTAAATACATACCTAATCAAATATTTTCGAAATCGGTGCCAGCCAATATAAAGCAAAGCACACCGACTTCGAAAATATTTGATTAGGTATGTATAGTAAATGAAAACTACCAATCAGTTATTTTTTACTTTTTAGTGCTTTTGTTTGAAGTCGGTTTTTATTTTTTTGTTAAAAAGTTTTTTAATAACTTATTTTTTAATTTTAGTAATTTTACAACTAGAGTAATTTAAAATAATAATAAATTAATATAAAATACTCCATTGATATTTATTTCTTTTTTTTGCTTCTGTCTGTCTGTTACGACTTATCTTTACAGCTCGATCCTTTAACCCTTGTTATCATGATAACATGGTGTTCTGTTGTTAGATAGTAAAGTCGTGTTATTTATTGTCATTTAAAAATTTATAACATATTTAATGTTTGTATGTCTATTTTATGTGTTTTTACTAATTTAAATAATAAGATTTGATAAATCATCTTTTTCTTGATATTCAAGCCGAAGAATTTATCAAATAAAAACTACTTTTATTATCACTTTATTTTTTATAATATAATTAATTTATAGAACGTTAGATTATGAACAAGAATAAACTTTAAATCGGAGAAGTTCGAGTCTGATTTGAGCACCATGGGTTGAATACCACCACACATTAAGTTCGTGTTATGTTTTAACTGACGTAACTTATTGTGAGTAAAGTAAAATATATTTTCCGTTACTTTTTAAATCACAATATTTATTTTATCGATAGCAAAAATAAGCTAGTTTTATATTATTTCTTAACGATATTGTGTAAAATAAAATATAACTTAAAATGCGATGCGTTCGCACTTAGAATTCTTTTCACTCCCGGGAAAGCAGGAAAATCGCTAAATATGAGAGATAAGAAATTTTATGAACTTTTTTGAGCGAAAATGAATTAATAAACTAATTTAAAACAATTAAAAAAAATGGAATAGAAAATAAAATTTGTATAGAAACTTTGGCCTTCTATTTTGTCTATGCATATTATGTCTTAAGTCTAATATAGTTACAAAGATTTCAGCTGAAAAAGCAAACTATAATTTAATCAAAACAAGTGTCCTATAATATGAAATAATACTTACATTTAATAGGTTATTTTTTTAATTTTATTCATAACATACGTATATGTAGTTAACTTGTATTATGTAAAATTCAGCAAAGTTTCTTTTTTAGGGCACGGATGTAACAGAAGCCTTTGAATGCCACCATATCGACACTATTGCGGAATCAATGTTAGAAAAATTCTATGTAAGAGATGCCAAATCTCCAAGAAATTCACCATTTACATTTAAGGAAGATGGTTTTTTTCGCACGTTAAAGAGAGAAGTAAGAGAAGAACTAAAGAAAGTACCAAAAGATACAGAAAAATTTAGTGATATGATCACAGATGGTCTACTGATAACTTTACTCGTAACATCGGCGACAACATGTTGGTCTAATAATTACTGGGCTGTAATGGCGTCCTATTTTGTAGCATCTCTGTCATTGGCTTATGTGGTTATAGCGTCACATAACTACATTCATAGAAAAGATAATTGGAGAATGTATCTTTTTAATTTCAGCTTATGGTCTTATAGGTATGTATTTAATTATTTACTCGAGATCACAAATTGAAAATGGTGAAAATTAGTGATAAAGCTTCTAAAAATATTTGCGATAGCTTATTGGATCCGTATTGGTGTCTAGAAAAAAGTGTTTTTCACCACATTCCAAACCATTTTTCAGCAATTAAGAAATTGCAAAAGTTATAAACAATTAAAGATGAAAAAAGAAGGTATTTCGTTTTTCGCTAATAATTCCGAAATTATAATTATTAAGAAACTTACAAAAAAGATACTTATAATGTAGGTAATTTCCAATTTAAAAATTGTAAGCTTCGGTATCCACCTTCATTATTTATAATTTTAATTTAACGCTGAAAATAGAGCTCCAAGTGACCGATGAGCTGTGCGCGCGCCGCCTTTAAAGCGTGTAAATCATGTACCTAAAATATTTTTTTTTACAATATAAAATATTAATTTAAAAATTTGAATAAATTATATTGTATTACAAATACGTCAAAGAATTGAGTCCAGCTGGAAAAAAGTTTTTAAGTTAATTTTTCGAGAAGTCAGGCGATTGTTAATTTACAAAATTTTGTGGGAACTTCATTGTCTTGAAGACAACAAGAAATGTTGAAATATTATTAGTCTATAAATTTTTCACTTGTCGGAGCGCTTCTTTATATATTACACTTAACATATCACATCATGCAAGTTAAAAAATTTAAATATTTTGCTTATCAAACAAATTTCAAGCTTTCATTTGAATCATCTAAATTTTCATTAAAATTTTCATCATTTTGAACTCGTGATCTACACTAATTGTTACTGTTATTTATTTTTAATTCATTGTGAATATATTTTTTTATGTATTTTGTTTCTTTTTTCAGGGATTTCAGAGTATCTCACGCTCTTTCTCATCATCTGTATCCAAATACTTTAATGGATTTAGAAATAAGTGCTTTTGACCCAATGATATCTTGGTTGCCAAGGAGAGATCGACCATTTTATGCTAATTTTTCAGTTTTAATTGAAGTTATTACATTTCCTTTTATATATTTTCTAAACTTTTTGAAAAGGTAAATGTATAAATAAATAAGAAAAATATATAACTGTTGGATGATGTGCTGCATTATATATTGTTTTTAAAAGTAATTTTTATAGTCAAAAATTGCTACTTACAGTTGAGTTGCTTGAAAAAATAAAATTTATTTACATTTACATAAATATTTTTCCTTAGATCAACGTCGGTCTTTTTACGTAAAGACTTCTTTAAAAAACATTATCGGTGGCACGATGCCGTGGGATTTTTGTTACCTCTGTGGATGTATCTCGTTACTGGTGCCAGTTTTTACGACGTTTTCATTACCTGGCTCTGGATTATAAGTACTGCAAGCTTTATTTTCTTTATGATCGGATCAAATGCTGCACATCACCACCCTAAAATTTTTAAAGATGGTGATCAAGTCAGGTAAGAAAGAAAAAAAATATAAATACCAAACCACACCAACCATTATAAATAAAACAATAAAATTTAAAAAAAAACCTTACCTTAACGGAACCGCTTTTAACGGGATTTTAGCTTGGAAACATAATTTGGGCGAAGATGACATCAAGTAAAATTATAGTGTAACATAATATAACATAATTCGTTGGCTCACTATTACAAGGTTCTATGATACAATTTTAGTACTTATTTAGTTATTAATGCTAGAAGGTTTTATGTGTCATTAGCTACAGTTTTGCAAAAACAAATCACTAGATAGGAGCACTTTAATTATAAAATATTCAATTTTATATAGTTCTAAGTTGTTTTTTTTACGATAACAAAATAACGAAGTTAAAAAAATGTAAAAATTACTAAACTTCATTAAAATTAACATAGAACCTTGTAATAGCGAGCCAAGGAATTATTTACATACATATTAAGTATAATACATAGTATACTAACATATTTTGTAAAATTTCCCTTGAAAAAAGTGGTTTTTCAAAACATCTTGTCATTTCTCTTCAAACAACCGTCAAAAAATACGACTTTGAGATTTTTTATTATGAGTTCATTAAAGATAATATGATAAATTTATACCTGTAGGCAAGAAACTTTTTAAATAACATCCATCCTACAACCGAAAACAGTTACCTAATTTGTAAAAACTTTTTTTTGTTGGAATTGTTGTTTTACGGTTTGATCTTTAAGGAAAGTGCTAGCGTAAGCTTAAAAGTAAAAATATATTATTTTTCTCTAACCTACAAACAAAAAGAAAAATATTTGAATAACTAATAAATTAAAATATTTTTCGATTTCAGTGATCCTAACCCTGATTGGGGTATACATGAGCTGGAAGCTGTAATGGATCGACGAGAAATCAACACGAATTATTTTAGAGTATTGACTAACTTTGGCCACCACGCCTTGCACCATCTATTCCCTACTTTGGATCATGCTGTCTTAGAATATTTGTACCCGGTATTTTTGAATAATTGTGAAAAATTCAGAGCTAACTTTAGAGTGACAACAATATTGGATTTAATTATAGGTCAAATAAAAATGACTTTGAAAACAGAACCGACTCTTTTGAATAAGTAATTAATATGTAAATGTAGGTGTCATGGAACTTTTTATCAATTGTTAAATTTTTAAAAATTTGTTATAAACTTTAAAAAGTTGTTAAAATTTTCTTGGAATACAATATAAGCTTAATAACATAGTAGCAGTTTTGCTGTTAAAATAAAATATGTAATAAAAAGTTCAAAATATGTAATTTTTTTTATTTTTAAGCTATTGCATAGCTTCTATCGCGGGCCTTGAGCGTGGGGACCGAATCCAGAAATTCCGTAACGAAAAAAACCTGACACCCCCCACTCCGACCGGCACAGCGGTGATACTTTTTAGTTTTTCCATCTATCGATAAATACCAGAACTTTTAATGACTTTTTGAAATATCACGCTTGTCTCTTTAGTTCAGCAACCCGCCTTTAGGTGGCATTGGTTGTATTGGAAAACTACCGTAATCAGCTGTTTGTGAGAAAGGTATAGGTATTTGTAGGTTTTTGTATAGGTATTTATCATCTATGTACAACAGTGAATATCTGTACTCGTATAATTTGTGTACAAAGTGTTTTAAATATGAATAAACAAAGTGCATTTATTAATGAAGAAAGTCAAGGAATAAAAATACTGCATTAATAAAATAAATAAATAATTATAATTGCACAAGTTGATAAAAAAATGCTATGCAATAGCTTTACCGCGGCAGTCTCCGAGTGCCACACGTTAATTTTTTTTGATTAATATGCAATAAAGGAAATAAGATAGTTCCTCATTTAAATTGTGGGTAAGTCAGAAAACACTTATACATGCATTACATAAGCTGTTCGATAATTTTGTCATTATTAAGTGCAATAAGCAGTTAGCAAATAAAATAATTATTAGTTATTATAAGAATATAAGTACAAAATTTGGTTAGTTTAATATGAAAAATAAATTGTCAATCGATCAAAAAAGTTCTAGGTACACGATCAACGATAAAAAATGTCCTCATCGAATGAGCGCTCATTTGAATATTTGAGCGCGCTTTTAATTGTTTTTTTTTTGGGAAAACAACTTTAATCATTGCATTTAAGGCTCAATCTACATTGTTGTATGTTTATTTCAACTAGAATAATAGCTTAAACACAATTTGCGACAGTTTTAAGAAAACTTTTGTATGGGATTGCGTATCTAGTACTTTTTTATCGATGCACAGTACAAAATAAGTGCTTCCAAATAATTCCTATAAGCCGTAATATTTATTATTTGACTAATATGAATGATACACCTTGTCAAAATGTAAATCAAACATCGTTTATTGTTAATATTGCTGCAGATATTATGTATTTGTATGTTATGAATTTTAAAGTTGAACTAAATAAATTTATTCTACAAGAAGTTTGAACTGATTAAAATGATTGAACTCTACAGCTGATTTCGTTATCATAATAATGTACAACTAATATGTATTATGTTCGTGGATTCAGCTGCACAGTAGTTAACACAGAAGTTGCTTAAAAACCTGTGCCCAAAATTATAAAAATGTAAATAAAGTTCTGCATGAACATATAGGTCGATAATATAGGTTTTCATTTTAAACGTAAGATTGTGACAGGCTCGGTGGAAAGTTAATATGGGAGAGCTTTGTACAAAATATTCTGAACACGAATCCAGAGGAAAAAGCTTGTTACTATGAAATTCAGGCATATTAAAATATAAAAATCTAGTCGTACAATCTCATTTCATTTTAAATTACATTTTCAAGCAGCAGGCAAGCACTTAGATATCGAAAGTCTTGATGATATTCCAACCTAATTTGCAGATTGCGTTTATTATCTCGTTAAGTTTTTATATCTGGCTTTTTAATTTTTGTAGAATTAGAAACACTTATGAAATTTAAAAAAATGAAAATTTCAATGTATCACAAGTCATAGTAGGTATGTATCTACTATCTAACACTAAGGATATGATTGATTCTCTGAGTTTTTGATTCATACTGACCGATTTTCAAGGCTTATTTTTTCGGCGACACGGTATTGAATTGAAAACCATTTCATAAAGTACATTAGTATTTTATAATACTTTGAGTATTTATCTGCAATGTGATGACCCATTAACTGAATAACGTCTTCATAAAGAGTAGCAATTAGAACTGAAAAAAATATTTTTAATGAATTGCAGCGAATGTTCTCAACTTTATTGCGGAAAGAACGCTTTAACTCCCGTACTTATGAATAAAACATAAGATTCTTTACAAAATGAATATGTAATACACAATAGCCTCTTTATGTTATAAGTAATTGCTTATTATAATTATAACAAAATAATCTAGAATGCAACATATACAAAATATAGAGAACGTAGTATATTTTTAGTGCCAGCGGTCGCGGGTTCGAGTCCCGCTGGCATTCATTTGTGTGATGAGAACGAATTTTTGTACTCCAGTCATGGGTGTTTATATTTATAATACGTATGTATTTAAAGTTATATATGTGTAGTGTATTAACTATCTGATTTCCATAACACAATCCTCCACTAGCATGGGACTAGATGGGGCTGTGTGTTATTGTCCCAACATTTAATATTACGCTAATTAATAAAATTTTATATTACAGATAACTTTTTGCATATTAAAAGTGATAGTTTGTTCAATAGATCCAAAGTAATTTCTCCAGATCAACTTTAGACAAATCATTATAATTTACCTGTATTCATGAATCAAGTAGATTGAAGTAAGTCCAATTAACTTCAAAATAAAGCAATAACTCAGTCGAAAGTGCACGCAAGGGAGATCCCTTTCCGACAGAGGACGATTTGATTGCGTCTGAAATAGATTTATTTCTTCTCCCTATTTACTTCTTTGAATGAAATATTTTTGAAAAACTATTGCTGGGAAATGCAATTTTCTTTATCTATGCAAATGTTATTGGACATATCCGCATGATGTTAATATGAAACAGGATATATTGAGGATGTTATATATTTAAAAGGATAAGCCAAACATTTGTAGGCACAAAACGTGATCGTACGTTTGACCAATATTAAGAATAGCACAAGGGTCATATTTCATAAATATTTTAATTGTCTTAATACAGTTATATAAATAACCAGCATTGCATTGCATTCAAATGACCAAAAACCAAATTCTTAGGTTTTACATATTAGAATACTCTTACATTGCAGTTTTTGTATTTTTTCTCAGAAATGAGATATTTTCCCGCGGTAAGAATTATCCTATATGTTGACCCGGATAACCAGATATCACCATTACAAATTTCATCAAAATCCCTCCAGTGCTTTTTCTGTGATGCGGTAACAGACAGACAGACAGACAAAAATTCTAAAAACTATAGATTCCGCCTCTGTATCGATAGTAATGTTTATTTCAATAAGATTTTCCAAAAAATATTTAATATGCAGATTCGGCTTAGTTACAATTTTATTATATGTATAGATTATACTACGAAGACATTTCATTCAATCAAAGTTTATATTGTACTGTATAATTGTTCACTACCAATACTACTACTAACATTACTATCAATTTAACAGCTTTTACAAGATGAAGTACTTCCTGTGTACTCCTGGGAGAAGTTTGTGCCAAATGAGAGTATCCTCAATAAAATTATTGAGTCTCAATAAATACATAATATACGCAATTCTAATACAATAGTTTAATAAATATTACAAAACATTATTTGTAGATAGAAAAATAATGTTATTTTTACCATTCAAGAATCTACAGAATGTTTACGCACAATAACTTAACAGTACCTATACGATGCTAAGTATGGAGCCAGAGAATGTAAATATCCGTCGTATAAAATCTTGATATTGGATTTCTGTGCCTGCTATAGAATTTATTGCGATGCAGCTATGTCTACAACATATAGGAGGGGCCGTATAAAAATGCGCGTATTACTCTTGTTACACATTTATTTTTATTATCTCTGTCGGATATTTATGTATAATGTGCCATTGACGACTGTTGTCATGCAGTAGGCTGTATATATTTGTACAGCTGACTCTTCGGTTTAGTTGCTAGAATATATGACTACACTGAGTCATCTTGGGTTCGAGTCTCGAGTCAAAAACTATTTACAGTTTTTTTAGTAACAATTCATTTATTGATCATCGTTCCATTGGATTACAGTAGAACCCGAAATTCCGCGCACTCTTACGCACTATTGACAGCCGGCCCTGGCTTCGTCAAGCTGACTTTTTGATATGACAGTAGAAAAGTATTATTTCTTAAATTTTGCTATTTCGTACCTTCTTCTTGGTAAGTTATATTATATATATATATATAAAGTAAGTTAAAGCTGCCAAAATTTTCGCCTGTTAGGCACAATGGGTTGGTCTTATGATCGACAAATTATTTGTAATAAGCATTTCATATATTTTATTACGATTATATTATTATTTACAAGGATGGACAAGTTTGAGTATTCACATAATTGAGTAAAATAAATGATGGTTAAAAGTACTGTGGTAAATGGTACCGTTGTTCATATATTAAAGGAATAAACAAACATTCATGTTATGTATGTGCAGCTAGTCGATTGGGAGCAAACATTAAATCCGAGCGACAAATAAAATTTCGATGTTTACTCAAACCTTAAACCAGCCGTCCACTGAGTTTGTCATAAAAAGATATTTTGATAAAACAGCTAACACACATCACATACATCTTACAAATTAAATTACTTAAATTTGGAAAATTATAAGCTATAGATATATGAAAAATCGACCCTTCTGAGAGCTTCCATCATTAATAAGTAAATACGAAGAGTGTCTAGGGACGTACCTAATATATTTTATAATTTACCTCACAAAGTAAAAACCATTCATTATTAATTAATATTTAAGAAATATTTAAAAAAAATCATTAATTTTTATATCTCCAAATACACTGATGGCCGATTTCTAAAGGAACATTAGAGAAAAAAAATTAAATGCGTTCAATTAATATACATATAATCCATCTTTTCAGTATCTATATTCAAATGATAATGAATTAATTCATGAAATAACGCGATACACAGGAAAAGCTA